CTTGAGGATCGATACTTGGATACTCCATCCATTTTATATTACTCTGACAGGTGTGCGCTTGCATCTATAGAATTGTTACCACGCTTAGTGCGTGCGTTCAGCAAATCACCAGTCAGAAAACCCAGCCACAAATCCTTTTAGTGCACTCAGAGGGAAGATAGGAAAGATCAAATGGCTACTCCACAAGCTAACCTTATACAGACGGATGACATCATTGCCGATGTGGTTGTGGAAGCAAATCTAGTAGAGAACAAATCTAACTGGATTCTTGACACAGGAGCATCCATACATTTCTGCTCGAACCGTGACCTCTTCAATGACTTTCAGGACTCTGCCAACAGTGTGTGTTTTCATGGGAAACTCTGCCACAGCTTGAGTACTTGGGAAAGGGAAGGTTCTCTTGAAACTCACATCTGACAAAACTCTTTATCATTAAGTAATGTGCTATATGTTCTTTCCCTGTCTAGGAATTTGGTGTCAGGAGGTCTACTAAACCGAGCCGGACTTAGGATTGTGTTTGAGGCTGACAAGGTTATTATCACAAAAAATGGTGACTTTGTTGGTAAGGGCTATTTAGCAAATGGTTTGTTTGTTCTCAACACTACTTCCTCCAATGAAATTAATTATAGTTTGCTTACATCGTTGAGTCTTTTGATGTGTGACATGATAGATTAGGACATATGAATATTGCATCAATTAAAAGGCTTATGACTCTAAATTTAATAAATGCTTCTGATTTGCCTGAAACTACAAAGTGTCATGTCTGTGTAGAAGCAGAGTTTGCAAAAAAAAACCTTTTAAGCATGTCACTGCAAGGTGTACTGAACTCCTATAATTAATTCATTCTGATTTAGCTGATTTCAAAAACACAACTAGCAGAGGTGGAAAAAAAATACTATATTTTTTTTGTTGATGATTTTTCTCGATATACGAAAATATATCTCTTAAAATCTAAAGATGAAGTTAGTATCATGTTTTTTAAATTTAAAGCTGAAGTAGAAAACCAATTAGATAGAAAAATAAAAAGGATAAGATCAGATAGGGGTGGTGAATATAATGATAATTCGCTTAGAGATTTTTGTGAATCAAGTGGAATTATACATGAATTTAATGCTCCATATTCACCTCAACAGAATGGAATAGTTGAACGGAAAAATAGAACTTTAAAAGAAATGATAAATGTCATGCTATTAAGTTTTGGTCTATTTGATGATATGTGGGGGGAAGCTGCACTTTCTGCCTGTTTTATTCTTAACAGGGTCCTCACAAAAGGCTAAATAAGACACCATACGAGCTCTGGAAAGGGTATTCGCGAAACCTGAGCTACATGAAGGTGTGGGGGTGCTTAGCAAAGGTGACATATCTAACATTCAAAAAACCTACGGTTTGATCTAAAACTTTTGATTGTGTTTTCATTTGTTATGCTCAAAATAGTTTTGCATATAGGTTCATGAGCTTGAATGACAAATCAATATGTGAATATAGAGATGCTGTATTTTTTAAAAATATCTTTCCTATAATTATAATTGATGGTGAATCTGGTGGTACGTAAAAAACTGCATGCATATCGTTGCTCTCCACTTCTGTTGGTATGCTAGATTCTGAACCTAGATCTAATGATACAATAGATTCTGAACCTAGGAGAAGTAAAAGGCAAAATGTTAGTAAAAGTTTTGGACCTGACTTTTTAACTTCCTATTTGGTAGAAAACTTTGACAAGATAGGTGATCAGTTCGCTTGCATGTATTTAATAGACGAGGATCCTAAAACCTACCAAGAAGCTATAAATGCCTTAGATTCTAGCCTATGGAAAGAAGGTATTAAAAGTGAGCTAGACTCCATAGTTATGAATCAAACCTGGGAATGAGTGGATTTACATGTAGGAAACAAATCTATTAAGTGTAAATGAATCTTTAAAAGAAAAATGAGACAAGATGGTACGTGTAACAACCCGTATTTTCTAATACGGTCATTCTGACAAAATACGGAAACGTAACTTTCAAGAAACCTTAAGAACTAAAATTATTCAGCGGAAGCAATTTCTTTACATAATATTTTTCTAAACTAACTTAACTAAATAGGAAGATGACTTTCAAACTCATGCCAGTACGCTAAACTTCACCTTCTACCAGAACGATCATTCAATCCTTCATCTGAAAAACATTTAGGAAAACAAAGATGAGTACAAAAATACTCAATAAGCAATTTCCATATCGAATTTCAAAATTCATTTTCCTTTCAAAACATTCGTAAACAAAAATACGAACAAATCAAAACTTTTAAAGTCCTTTAAAATATTTAATACAATTTTCAAAACTTTCAAAACAAACTAGATTTTCAGAAACAAAAGTCTTCAAATAAGATAAAATTTCTGGTCAATCAAAACAAACTTTCATTCTTTCAAAACAAACTTGCATTCATTCAAAACAAACTTTTAATGATTCAAAACAATCTTTCATTCATTCGGAACAAACTTTCATTTGATCAACTTCAAATCCTTCAAAATAAACTTTCTTTCAATCAAAACTTTCAAAGTTCATTCTAAAACACTTGGTACAACTTCCAAACTTTTGAATAACTAAATCATTCAAACATTCAAAACAATCTTACATTCATTCATACTTTCAAAATCAGAGTGGAAGGTTGCATTATTTGGGTAGCCTACAGAACATATGTGGTTACCCGCCGGTAACACCAATCAATCAGAAGCTTCTATCAGAGTTGTCGAATTAATATCGACTAGAACAAAGTTGTCGAAATAATATCGACCAGAACAGAGTTGTCGAAATAATATCGACCAGAACAGAGTTACGTAAGTGTGAAGCCATGTGAGTGAATAACACACACAAAAATCTTCATTCCCAATGAATGCCAAACCACAAGTGCCTTCCCACAAATAAGCCAGAACAGAAATCCATAAATTCCAAATTAGGCTACTACCCCAAATAAGCAAAACGTTCCTCAAAACAAAATCATGGCATATTCGGATAGCCCTATGAAATCAATCAAAATATCTTTCAAATAAATTGCAAAACAAATACTTACTTTCAATATTAAATTAATTCAAAATATTGAAATAATTTAAAACAAACTTTATCAATCATCCCAAAACATGATTTCAAATATTTCACAAATAAACAAAATATCAATTTCAAACCTTTAAATAAATTTAAACAAAACTTTATCAAATCATTTAAGAATACTTCAAATACTTTGCAAATAAACATAATTTCAAATGCCAAATTAGTTTTCAAATCCATAATAAAACTTGAATTTCATATGCAAGATATCAATTTCAAATCGTCGTATCAAATCCAAAATACATTTTAGTTTTGGAAAAGATATGGCAAACCACTTACAATACTTTTCCAAAAGATATGGAAAATTACTTACAACACTTTTCGAAGGGATATGACAAATTACTTACAATATTTTTTCGAAGGGACATGACAAATTACTTACCTCTTTCAG